CAGTCTTTGATTACTTTTATATCTCGCATCACATTCGTGTATAATCTCTCATCATTATTATCTTGCCATAAAATAGTGGTGTCGTCCGCAAATAACGTGATTTCGCCTTTTATATCAAGAAATGCCATATCATTAATGTATAAGAGAAATAAGATTGGCCCTAGGACTGATCCTTGAGGCACACCATGATTTATCTGCGCGGTCTCTGAGGTAGTGTTTGTTTTCTTTGTAATCTGAAGTTAGAGCTTCTGAACTTCCCTTTCTTATTCGAGGAGAACATTTCAGGCTTGGACTTTTTGCATTCCTGGCACTTTGAATTCGATATATTCAAACGGATTCATCTTACGTTTATGTTCATTGAGGTATCCTTCCTGTATAGTTTTCTATATCAATTTTAACTGTACTCCTAATATTCCTCAACATTCTCCTCACCCAATCTTCCAGATTTTGAAAGCCCATAACGTGTTTTTTGTGCCTCATTTGTTCACACTCAGCAATCAGCAGTATAAGAACACCCAAAATTCCATCTTCCACAACACGGAATACGGAAATGGGGTTGCCGAATAAAAATCGTGGACCAAAGGATGGGGCCCGCGTGGGTGAAGTATTAAAAAACCCATATAGCACTCGATGTCCTGAGGACGTCCAGTTCAGGCCCAATTTAGGTCTGAACGCCTGGGACAATTTCAAGACGTACTGAAAACGTCCATTTCTGGACGTACTGGGTACGTATGACGCGATACGATGTCTTCTGTAGAGTTATAGCCGGTAATCTAAAGGTCGTGGGATCGATTTCTGGAAGGAGCACTTTTTTTAGTGTTTTTCATTGTAAATGAGATTTTTTTTTCCTTGTCTAGGCATCTTTTTCAACTATCTGAGTGAAAAATAGCGAATCTACGTTGGTTCAGGTATTCATGGTCCCGTTCAGACATGAACAGGACCTTGATCGTACTTCCTGGGGACCGCTGGTTGTGTAACATCGTATGTCCTCAAAACATCCTAAAAACGTACGCCGTACCGAAATTGCCGTTCTGATGACGTTTCTCCAATGTCCGAGGTGTATGACTTGGGGACGTTTTCGGGACGTTTCGGTGTTATCTGATGGGAACTAGGGGATCTCGAATTATTACTTACCGTTCGGCGTATATGTCCGCAATACGGTACTGAAATTGAAACAAGTTTGGATGGCCGGCGTTGCCGAACGTGTACACTGAGGAAAATTTCTATTAACCATAGTCAGAAATCGAATTACCCCAGCAAGAAACTCTAATAGCATAGGGGACAAGCGAGTTGTCACCTGTGATTATAAAGTCGACTTTGATGATTATAACCCACCTGCGATTATTAGATATAGAACCTTGCTGTCACTAGCGAGTGCATCTGTATGATGCTATTAGACGATGTTTCTGTAGTAGGTATCTGACTTTGCTACCGCTACCCAATCAGCACAAGTACGTCTTATGGACGTTTTAAAAACGTCCACTCTGGACATTCAGGACGTTTTGGGGACGTCCATTTCCGGACGACGGACGTCTTATGGACGTTTTGAGGACGTCCATTGTTACTAATCAGGATGTTTTGGGGACGTCCAGTTTAGGTCCAGACTAGGACCTTTTTGGTATGAAAAATGGACGTATTGAGGACATTCAGACGATATTGATTATTGATTTTCTGACCCATCTGAAGTGTGAAATACTTGAATATTAGTAAACATTTATTCGCAAACAATAATATGACCAGAGATTCAGGTAGTTGTTTCAATTTCACTCTTCCATATCGTTATCAGCAGCTGCACCACTAAAAACGTCGCGTGATTCATCCAGGTACGCAGGCGCGATGATGTCTTCTTCTGATTGGCAGCCTTCTGTTGTCTTCTTCACTGGATCTGTAAAAAATAATAATATTCAATTACATCTTCTGTGAATACCATAAACCATAAACACACACCCACTTTCAACGTGTAGTAGTCAGTATAGCGGAATACTTCATCATTTTTATTTCATTGAGAACTTATTCCAAACATAAACTGTTTCTTAGGTAAGTACCTATATAACCTCTATGAACCTTGCACGAGTTATGTTTCAACTATATACAAAAATATAAACTTTTGTAGATGATGGAAATAGGATTAAGTAGAGCTTTGCATGAGATCAAATTATTTAGAAAGGTATCTGATAATTTCAACTCCAGATTTGATGTTCTTACTCAAGCACCTTCAAGCGAATGAAGATAAAACGATAGCGTCGATAGCCATATACTTGCCTTCATGCTGCTGTTAGCACAAATAAATATCTCGATGGAACTCGAGATCGAAGTTCACCAGTTGATAGATGATATCCGCAAAGATTTCACTTATTCACTGCTTTTACATTCAAATAACCCGAAAAGTTCAGAATGTCCTTGGACCTGAATCACAGTTTAATAGGCACTCGGCAGTGATCAACTGACGGACGCCATTTCCCCATTTCTCACGTTTTCGTTTCACGTAACACACGCACAAACCACAGTGTTGCCGGATGAAAATTTGTCGGAGCAGTAGATGGGTGGGGAAAAAACAGTAGATCATCAAAACTGAACAGAAGATGTTGATAATCATCACAATTTGCTATCATAAATGAAAAAATAACAGTCACCTATATAATAAACGAAAAAAAAATCATGTTCTGTCTCTAAACCTATCAAAAATCGAACGAAGAATAACAAAAAATAATGGAATAAAAAATAAAATTTGTAGATACCACAACCAGATTGGAAATAAAAGCTAATTTTCACTAATCTGACTGAATATGATAGTTGCAGTATATTTTCATCATACATCTTCTTACTGTGATGTCCCATTAATTTTTCATTGTTGCATATTAGCTAGTTATGTCATATCAAAACATGACCAATCAGACCATTGTCTTGAATAGTTGAACAGTAGAACGGAGACCAAAACAGTAGATCTACTGCTAAAATAGTAAGTCTGGCAACGCTGAGCACGCATGCGTTCTACGGTTGCTTTACATATTCAGTTATTCAACCGAATCTTATTATAAAAGCGCGGCTTGTATGAATACTTCAGTGTGGGTTTAAGAATTGTCAAACTGTATAGGTATCATGTGATTGAAGTAATAAAATTCAACATAACACTATAAGTAGGTACAAATCAGTTAATATCATCAATATTTCAAATTCATAATATTAATAATGAAATGAAATTCAATATATTGATACAGCTGATATATAATATATTTTTGACGTCATTTATGTCCATATTCAATTCAATAATTCTAATTTCAAAATTAATATATACCTACCTACTTATATTAATTCAAACCGATATACCGTGAGCGTCTGTGAATTGGACGTTTTAAAGACGTCTATTTCTGGACGTCTGGAGTATGTCCAATAATGGATGTCTTAAAAACGTCCATAAAAGGTCCTGGACGTTCAGACCAAAAATGGACCTGAAATGGACGTCTTCGGGACGTCCCGTGCTATCTGGATAGTGAGTGCATCTAATAATGGGAGTAGGGCAATGTTATAATCGTAGGTAGGGAACTTTGCTACTCTTGATGGGTGATCATATAGATATAGTTGAATGACCTTCTTACTGTATAGTTATTCAGTTATTTTCCAGGATTGTTGTCATCAAGAAAGATGAAATTTCGACTGATATCCACTTTCACTTCCCATAATTTCCACCCTGATGTTTGGTATGAATAGCAATTTATTGATTCCTAAAGAAAATTTCGGACCAATGATCTTTGAAATTCAATAGATCAATTGATTCATGCACCCTCAGGAAAAACCAAAGGGTTTTTTGAGTAATTGATGAAAAAAGAATTTTTCTGAAACCATTGTATTTCGAAAACTAGGCCAGTTATTACAGATGCGTACAGGAAAACAAAATGTTACCAGTAAAATCATTCAGATAATTTCATCACCTGGACATTTTTTCTCACAATAAGTTTTTAGACCAGATTCTATAGAGAAGCTCTGAAACATATTTGACCATTTTGAAGTTTCATGATACCAAAGAGAGGAAAATGTTATTGAATGTAAAATATTTGAATTTCAGACGAAATACCTCGAAAAAACTCACCTTCATCATTCCATCAATCCTGGTATAATAACTGAAGCACTCTACGAAAGCACTGAAAGGGACACAGAAGATTTTTTTATTTGTTTGAAAATGTTTCCATTTTATATTTGAATTCAGGTTCAGATTTTGAATAATGAATTGAATTCAAGAGGGGAAGTATTCGTAACTGTCGTGTCGTCGAGATTGTCGTCCTGTACATGGGTTTGCATCAAGAGCCCAACTGTGAATGATTGATCAAGCAAGATGTCTGACAAATGTTTACATAGTGGGGGACAAATCAGCGAAATATCGAATAACGATGAGTAGGCGCTAAATAACCCCAAGTTGGTTCGTCAAATATTATTTCCGTGGCAGACTGACAGTTGTATTATTGGAAGTGAGTGCAGTTCTATGCGATGAACCTCGCAGCCACAAGAATATAACTCACTAGTAGTAGTTCAGCTAGACAATTATGAAAAAAAACATGCTGTCCCAGAGTGGTTGCCTGATAGCTACAGCAGTATACTTTCCTGTGGCAGGAAATTCACTTTCAGCAAAGTCGTTATTGCTATCATAGGATTCGAAGGTGCTGCTTCTATTCGAAAATGTATAACGGTAATATGATGTCTTGTAATGGTAGCAAGAAATATCTCAGCAAAAACTCTAATAGCACAATTTTCCTCAGTGTAGGGTGAATACGATGAGCAGTGGCGCTATATATTTGTTGTCAACAACTTTCCAATTGAAAGTTATCATTGGTTTATGTTCGAAATTTTGTGAATTCAACTGATTATCTACAAATACTCAGGTTAATATTATGGTCAACGAACATTTTGGTTGGATCGGGGACTAACCACCTCCGCGTACTTTCTTCTTTAGGGTGTACAGTATGAGTTTATCATATTTTCAATGCTCGTTTTGTGACTGCTTTCAGGATGCCGACGCCCCGTTCCCGTACGTCTTCGAGCAGATCGGCTGGAACTCCATCAAGTGGGTGGTGACGGTGGGCGCCATCTTCGCGCTGTGCACCAGCCTGCTGGGCGCCATGTTCCCGCTGCCGCGCGTCATCTACGCCATGTCCAAGGACGGCGTCATCTTTAAGTCGCTGGCGAAGGTCAACACCTACACGCAGACGCCCTTGATCGCCACGGCGCTCTCGGGGTTGCTGTCAGGTGAGGTGCTTGCAAGAGCAATAGTTATTGTACATTTTTCGATGTTTTCTTCGAATAAGGCATTTATATTTGTTCAGATAGCCAAGCCGCACTAAAAACCCTGAAATCATTTGTTTTTACCTGAAAGATTACATGGGACTTCTTTGAAACACTAATGCAGCTGAGAATGGACAACAAGTAGTAGTAGAGTATAGTGGGCAGGGTACAGCCAGGCACGTAGGCCCTAATGAGCCCTTTTGCCAACCCCTTCTCTCCACATATCTACAAATACTTCTTCTAGTTGTCCTTGCTGAACCTCCCTGATTTTCTATAATGAGGGTCAGGAAGTCCGTCCACTATAATTCGGCTAGATTCTCCTGTTGCAGTTTATCCACACCAAAGAATTGGAATCTCATCCTTCCATACGCCGCACACTCTCCGAGGAAGTGTGATATAGCTGTCTGCGCAACCTATTGTATCCTGTCAGTACCTCCAGTAACCCTATGTGGAGGAGCAGTACTTGGCGATTCCTGCCAAGTAACCACGCCACGCCGTCTTTGACTTGTTTGGATCGGCCACGAGGTCTCTCGATTTCCTGCAGCCGCCTATACGCCTCCAATATTCTTCAAATGCTTTGTCCGCCCATTCGTTGGGGATGGATGAAGTTTGGATTCTTTTTGTAATGCCCAGTGAATGGTCAACAAAGTCACATTAATTTGGGTTCCAGGGCATGAAGGAATCGGAGGGAATGAGGTAGCTGATCGCTTTGCAAAAAAGGTGCAGAGTCTGCATTCTTTGGTCCTGAGCCTTACTGTGGAAGAGGCAGTGCTCAGGAAATGGAAAGAGATTTCAAAAGTATCCACTGGCGAGCAACTCTGGGTCAACGACAAGCAAAAAGGTTCATCAACCATTCGCAAAATCGGGCCAAAGAGCTATTCAGCCTCAGCAAACCAGAGCTAAAGCTTATCACAGGCTTTCTCACTGGACACTGTCCTCTGAGGTATCACCTCGAAAAAAATGGGTCAAGCGGAGACTGACACTTGCCCCTACTGTCCCGCTCATCCCCCACGGTTCAGGAGTTTGAGTATTTTGTTCATGGCACTTCCTACTACAGCTTTACTAAAATTTTGCGACTACACGATTATTTTCTCCTATTTTTGTCAAAGGCTGATTCACCTGAAACAGGTCTATCTGAAGCCTGCTGAGGTGGGAAATTCGAATGTTTGAAAAATTCTAGGCTTCATCAGAAGTCTAGGGTTAGAGGACTACAATTAGATAAGGGTATCTATCCACAATAGAACTTCTAGGTCACAGTGATCGAGAGGTCTCCAAACTCATACGACCCATCTGAAATCTATACAAATAAGTTGCCGAAAGTGGTCATGTTGAAATTCAGCTTCGAAACCGGAAGCTCAAATTTGCTCAATATATTAAAATGATGTTTTGGACACATCGCCGAAAGTAGTCATTATGCCGAATCAGCTTTTTGGAAATTTCGCCGAAAATTGCTATACTAGTGAAATATCTGTTTGGACACATTGCTGAAAGTGTTCTCAATGCCCAATATTCGCGGTATTCAAGGTCATCATGTGAGGTTGTGATGTCATGGAAACTACGGAAAAACATTCCTAACTCCTGGCTTATATTGAAAGTTGGAGATGTTTTCCCGTAGTTTTCGATGTCATCCAACGTCATATCTGATGACCTTAGCGACCGCGAATAGTTTCCTATTCATCACAGGAGGCTGTGAAATGATGGAGAATAGTATATTCTTCAACGAGCGTATAATGATAGCTATTATTCCCGAGGATATGATTCCGAAACGAGCCGTAGGCGAGTTTCGGAATTATCCGAGAGAATTAAAGCTATTATACGCGAGTAGAAGACTATACTTTCTCTACGACTATACGATAGTCAGAAATTTAATGTAATCTAATTATTATTTATGAAAATAATATACTTGATGAATGAATTTTAATGATATTATAATATACAATTGACAGGAATCTTTAATATTCAACGAACTCAATGATGAAACAACACAATGATTATTAGGTCAGTAAATTATGTTTCTCGTACTTAGTGACAAAATTTTTAGTGATATTCTCACAATTCGTGAAATTTAATGTCGGTGTGGCATTTAAATCAACACTGAAATTTTTATTCATATTGCTAGTTGATGTTTTTTGTGTGATGGCACTGTTATTTGATGATGATGAACATTGTTCGATTCATTGAAGAATTCGAATCTGCCGTTTTTTTTTTATTCAACATGGAATCTCCTAGAAATCCTTCTGCCACCGATGTGCTCTTCCAGCCACCATGTATTTTCAATGCTGTTATACCTCCACCTGCATTGACAAGCAAAGCAATGCCCGATGCATGTACATCTCGGGGTTTGGTAGCTTCAAAAATGTAACTATTTGTTTTCCCATTGTTGCAAACTTATTAATTCCAATTTTCTAAAGAGTACATTTTCCTTTTTGGTGATTCATGAAAAAATAGGAAATCACAACATTTGCTGCTCGTATATCAATGTACTTTTTACAAAATTGATAAAATTTTCCGGTTACGCAGTGAATCTCCTTACAATTTTTGTTTTGGTCTCAGGAATAGTTATCATCCATGCGGATCCAAGATCTTGAATATCTTCAATATTCATAGAGTACATTTCTATGGAACGGCAAGCCAAGATTATGTCCTCCAGATATCAAAGTTAAAACTTAAAAGACTCTATAAGTCAATCTGACATTCGCGAAAGTCAAGCCGTGACGTGACCCGTAAAATGAAGCAGAGCCTTCTTGAGAAATTTGTTCGGTAGATTTGCTGGTTTTTCATTAGTTTTGTCTAACCTTTTCAGTTCCTGTGGATCCTGAAAATTCTGAATCTGTGATTGGTCGAGTGCCGTTGAATAATGAGTTGGGATCCACGGTGTCTTGGAATCATCATCATTCATCAATTACTAACCTATATGTAATCAATGTAGAATACGATAGTCGTAGAGAAAACTCATTAATTCTACTCCAAAATACGAGGATGGTTACATTTAATTCATTTGCATCGGGACACAATGTGGAATGGATTAAATTTCTTTCAGATGCGCTACATTTGAGGTCCCCTGAGTATATCTAAGAAAAGCTATTTCGGCGTTATGTCCACTTTCGGCAAATTCAATGTTTTCGAAAACTTGTCAACTGACATTTTTCGGTATGATGTCAATTTTCGGGCGTTTTGGCCGAAAATTCGGCGACTTGTCCATAAGGCTAAGTGCTAAATGTCATGGGCCCTAAGTAAGAATTCATATATTTTTTGATGTATTCCCACAAAACAACGTGGTACATTGAGATTCGTGTTATTTTGTGATTATTTTTCCTAAAATGCTCAAAAACGAATGAAATGTAAGGGAATGAGGAAGAAACAACTACTTTCCACAAATTACTGAAACAGCTTATTCATACCATATACGTTATCTACAAGCAATTTTCAAAGACATGATTTTCGAATCTTGTTTTGTCTACGAACCTCACTATCTACAAACACAAACTTCCAGATAATTAATTATATCAACTGAAAATTGATGTGTCATAATTTATAAACTATTTACGTACCTACTATGAATGATTAATGAATCATTATTGTAATATACAGTACGTTCATCTCTTTCATCATTGTGATGTCCTACTGGGGTAAAATTGAAAAAAGTCTTATTTACAAACTTGAGGGAAAATTTCCATGGGAAACTTTTTCTATTTCAACCCCGACTTTGTATACGTCTCAATTATCGACACCTCAAGAGGTTTTTGCTACTTCATTACGTCATATGGAAATACAAATTTCAATAGGTATATGAGTAATAGCTTCAAATACTTTCCTGTGGATTATTATACTATTATACTATTACCAAAAAATTTTTAAATTTTATATAGCAATGCAATCATACTTTATTTAAAAAAATCAAATATTGACATGGGAAAATTTGTGTCATACGTTTGAGTATATACCGGGTGTAACAGGATCATGGTATACCGAACCATGGTAATGAACTTATTTTTTTTTTCTACAAACGTCAAAAAATGACAAGGTTCGCGCATTGATAACAAATTGCGGAGTTACACTTTTTTTCAGTTTCCTACGTTACCATGATACCTTGCACAAAACAATGCGCGACGTGAAACAATGCGCGAAGTACCCACTTCGCGCATTATTGTTATGTAAAATATATGAGATATTTATATTTCAACTTTATGGTACTCAATCGAGCAAACATCTACGGAATCATTCATTCCTGAGTGCTCAACAATAACTTTGTTTTATCTCTTGGAGCGCACGAAAGGAAATTCCTATTATGTTCGTGAAACATCGTGCGTACCTAGGAAGGATATGGGGAGGCCTTTTAAGCCAGTTGAACACTGATTTTCATATCAAGCTAAGACTATTTTCACTATAATATATTTTTTAGAACTATGTTTTTGACGTTTGTAGAAAAAATTCCTCGATGCATATATAACCTCCAGAAATTTAAGCAGAACACCAATTCCTACCTCATTTCCCTTGTTTCTCACGATGTTCTCTGAACATTACAGGATAACCTTTTTCGTGGGAACCAGAACATACATAGTTATTTTTCTATCTAGAGAGCGAAATACTTTGGTCATCTCAACAACACCTCGTTGAAAAATGAGATCTCGACCACCAAAGTAGCATTTCGCGCTCTAGATACAAAAATAACTATTTAGGTTCTGGTTCCCACGAAAAAGGGATACCCTGTAATGTTCAGAGAATATCGTGAGAACCAAGGGAAATGAGGTAAGAATTGGTGTTCTGCTTAAATTTCTGGAGGTTATATATGCCTCGGGGAACACCTCCCTTGGCAATGTGTTCCAGAGCCTCGCTGTTCGTTATATGATAAATTAAGAAATTCGACATTTTCGACAGAATTAAATTTTTATAACATTACAGCTATGAGCACATCATACTCGATCGAATTAGTCATGGCACACTCAGAAGGAAAATCGAAAATGGAATTCATATCAATATTGAAGTTTGAAATATCACTTATGTGGTATCATTGAATTCCAAAAATTATGCCTAATTCGGAAATACAATGACATAGAAATTCATTTAGAAATCAAAAGTTACTACCACTTCCGGTGAAACCAGAAGTGCGAAATAAAACATATTTATGTCGAAACACACATTCATCAAGTTGATGGGTCATTCCAAATTTCAATAACTTATCTTTATAAGTAAAGTATAAAAAGGGGGTGTACCCTGATCGTGTTACACCCGGTATAATCAAGGGTCGTACCTAATATCGACACATGTGAGTACTTAATACTGACACTTGATACAATTGTTTTGAAGTAGGTACTTTTACTTAAGTAAGTAATATGCCATTTACATAATTTAATAATAATAAACTAATAACAAAAAATTATAATCTCAGTGGCATATAGCTACAACATATTCATTAAAGTGATGTTTTGTTTAAATTGTATTGTTCGGTACTTAGTATTTGACTGATGATGGCCGTAGCGCCGAAACCGGTTACATATGTAAAATGTTAGTTACTACTATTATATGAAGTGTGGTCGACCGACTTTGAGCCCCTAGTTTTTTTCTTCTTGTAAATATTCATTAAAATTGAACAAAAGAAACAAAACAGTCTAATATAGGCAAACAGAGTAGAGTCAGCGTTCATTTTTTTTGGTTCCGTAATTTTCTCAAGAATCTCTGCTAAATTATACCAGAAGAATATCATCCCTTCATATTTTGATAAAAGGGCATCTATAACGATTGGGCAAACAATCTGAATGGCGAAATCAACAAAAACGATCTGTATATGAAACTCCATCAATTTTTATAGGTATCATGGCTACTATTTTTGATCTGGACCAGTTGATAGATATGATGTCTATTGGAACCTTGATGGCTTACACCATAGTTGCTATATCAGTTTTAATTTTAAGGTGAGAAAATAATAAGATTATGCATCAAGACATATCTAATCACTTAAATAAAATATAAATTATTATAGAATTATTTTCATTCAACGATATATACAGTGTGTCTCACTTCTAATGGAAAAACTCCTGTATCTTACGTATTGGTTGGGTAGGGATCCTGAAATTAAGTGGGGCGGGAGATATACCAAAAATGTACTCTATAGCAAAGTGAGGTCATCTTCAGTGATATACACTGCTCGCCAACAGCCATGGAACCACCCCAATTTCCGGAAAATGATATGAGGAGTCGAAATAGGTTGAAAATCACTTTGGATTCGGAATCATGACTCCCAATACACTAACTAATCATACTTTTCTTGAAACATTTGCAGGTCTGAGTATTTCATTTTTGTCTCACGTTTCATGGAAACATCACTGTATCTTACCTTATTATTAATGTAGGAGTCTAACATTTTTAGGACCAAGAAAGATACCGATGACCAAATACCAATGACCCTAGGATCACCGACATTCCAGGAGGAAAAATTTATTAAATCGGAAAATTCAGTTGTTAATGATTGTTCTGAAATTGATAATCATAAACTCAGTTCCCATCAGGGATAATGAAATAATAATCAGAACTAGTACAATCGAATAGATTATCAGTAGTGATCCAATGGATCATAAATCATGATGGGTCTTATTGGAATCAATTATGAATGAATGGATTCGAATATTATGAAGAAAATCGTTACCGATAATAATGCGTCAAAATATGGGAGGTTTGTGAATTGGACGTCCTGTTTTCGAATCCGAAGCGATTTTCAACAAGCACACGTGGAATCACATAATTAAATGTGATTCCACGGGTCCTTTTATAGGTATGTTTTTTCCTCAATATGTCATATTATTCTTGTAAACCAATATCTTTACAGGTACTATTTATTGTGTCTGAAGATGGCTGCTTGAGCCGAAACTAGTCACAAAACTTTTGTAATTAAATTTTGTGGTCGACCGACTTAGTGTTGGTGTTTTTTTTTCCTTGAAAAAATCCAGACCACTTTAAGAAGGATGGTTTCCATGACTTAAATTTCAGGATCTTTACCCAACGATTACGTAAGATACAGGGGTGATTCCATTAGAAGTGAGACCTCGAGTGAGACACACTGTAACATCAATAGTCTGTATATTATTCTGATCAATTTGAATAAGAGTTAATCTTTGGTAGAAGCAGAGATTATACACTCGTAGAAGTCTATATTGCTCAAAGAGGAGCGAAATTTTTCAAAAAAAGTAAGGAATGCTCGAAGTCATCTTCCCAAATTTGTGGGGATGACTTCGAACATTCCTTCCTTCCGTTGAGTAAGAGTTGCTAAACCATCTCCCTTTCATCATGGTCTTCAGATATGACATTGACGAAAATGAAGAGTATCCTGGCCTAGAAATAAAAGAAAAAACAGAGACAGTCGAGCAGTACATGGGGAACAGATTCAAGGCGATTTTCAATTTGAACAACAACAAGTATCCGACCAAAGATTCGTCCACGATAGTCAATTGGAGCATTGTGATGTTTAGTAAGTATCCAAATAAGTATCAATATCAGTACCTAATATATAAGAGATATTTATAGTCAGCCAATCAATTTACCAACCAGTATACAGTTACGTTAATAGGTACATACTAATGTATTGCCCAGCAATTAAGAACGAACGTATTATACGAATTGCTATGAACTAGACACTTGATGACTATGATTCATTATGTCAATTTAGTCCATAAAAAGCCGGTTATTTAGCCTCAAACTAACTAATATCCTACATCAGCGACTTTTTTCAAGGAATATAACAAAACTAACCTCTTATTCTTTTATTTCAGGTGTATTCACTGGCCTCTTCTGTGCCACTGTTATCAATGGAAAAAGTCAAGTTTTTAATGACACTTTCTATCTGTTGGGATTTATAATAACTCTCGTTAGCATGCTGACGTTGTTAGTTATCATTGCCAGGCAGCCAACATCTGACACAAAATTATCTTTCAAGGTAAAAGAAGCATTTTTTTTTTAATTGACTCGGCCGTTACTTGATGGAAGATTTCCACAATTTTTTTTTCAACACACGACATGTTTCAGGTGATATACTGGTACAATGAACTAAACTAACGTTGGCTTGCTTAACTCATATATATCTTACTTTCCCAACCTGAAGGATTAAATACCTGTGGACAGGTACGATAAACCTCCATTTTCGGAAATTAGGCACAATATCTACATTAAATTACGATATACCGGATTAACTTGAAAGAGTTGATATCAAAATATTGCTTACTAAGATATATAAAAGTTGAGCAAGCCAACGTTAGTTAATTTCATTGTACCAGTATATCACCTGACGAAGCTACTGTGTTTGAAAAAAACAAAAATTGGAAATCTTATCGTTTGTGAAGTTTTTACATTTAGAAGCATATTTGATATTGTTGTCACCATATAAAGATTCACTAGATGGATGATCAGCTATTCAACTGTACCATTGTTCCCCCTCTTGCAGGCTGAATGCCACGATCAAAATTCAAGTGCAGTGTTGCCGTCTCAACGATTTTGTCTATAAATTATAATGCGTATTCAGGGTTGGTCAATACGATATTCGACCTCGATTTGCGACGGGTCGGAATTCTATAGCTTTTCACATTGTTTGAACGTTTGTTTTCTGTAGATAATGCACAATGTCAAAAATCTAGCGTTTTTAACCACGTTGAAGTATTTTTTGGGAGCAACTTTGATCATGTGAATCTGTGAGAAGAATGATAATGGCATATAAAGCAAGAACTGGGTGATCTAATATATCGTTAAATTATGAAAGAAGTAAAGAAGTCGCGACTCTTGACGATTTTTCCTCTCATTCCCGCGACATTTCATTCACAACAACTGGTAACACTGTCACATGTCAGGTGTTAAAGCAGATGTATGCACACCGCTTTTTCATTAATATGTGATTTCACCATCATTTACGATTTCAACAATAATTTAAATTTTGGTATTCCCGTTCATTCATTTATGCATTCGTCCAAACATGACCAACTTTCGACAAATATAAATAAAACTGTGACTTGCGCAGGCGCCATTCTGTCAGAAGTCATACAAACAATTTCTTCTTCTTTTTTTTCCAAAATGTGGTTGAAAATTCTGGGAATTCTAGTCGAATGTTCAAATTAGACACATACTTATTGTAATTATGTGATCACTGAATGTTACGCTGACTATGTTTTGACCAAGAAGAAGAGTTCAAAATTGAAAAGTGGTGGTACATTCGACTTCGATTCGCCTTCCGACCGCGGCGTCTTCAGGTCGGAAGTCAGGTTAATGTTTTTGTGATTGTGATTTTGAAACGCTAAAAGAGCACAATACCTGGTATCACTTCGAGCCTTGATTCGAGTGAGACATCCAGGGTGCTCGAAAAACAAAACCCTCATTATTTACGCCGGTATCCAGGCCAGATGAGAACGGATTATCTGTACTAAGGGCTCTGGCTGTATGTAAGACAAGAGGCCTTATATTCAAAGAGAGAGGGAGAAAGGTATCATAGTCCTTAAATAAAAATAAACCTTAATGACAGTTAATGAAAGCAACAGATTAATGAAAAAGCGATGTGCATGAATCCACATTTTTAGTCGGATCGTGGTATTCTAGTGAGCCCCTAACGGTTGAGAATACACTAGCTGATCTCTTGCGAATTCTAAAATATTCACGTTCACAGGGGAAGAAACTATTCAAATTTTGAACTCATATTCGTTACTAGCATGCATTGGAGCGTCATAATCCTTTTCGGGGCATATCGTTCTAATGCATTTGATATCCTACCCGATGATTATTCAGGCGATGGTTGATCCCTAAAACTTTTTCATTATTGAAGATGGAAAAACGACATTCGGGGGTTGTGTATTATTCGAGATAAAAAATAAGCGTAAGCTACCTATCGGAGTTTTTGGAAGCTGTCAAAGCGGTCTGTTTCCTATGTCTTTATTGGTCTGTTTTTTGTTCGTGCATATTGGTCACATCTACTACATATTCATCAAAACGATCCGCTCGTGAGTGTTCAAATGTTGCCGTCAGGTGGAGCGACAAGTCATTCTCTATCGCGAATAGTTCAATTTTCATTTTTTGACATAATTACTTGCCTTGTCTCATTTCCGGTTTGACCTATTTTCATCGAGAATGACATTCTAAAGCCAACAATACCTCACTTGACAATATTTGACACATGAGGCTATTTTTTTTCAATTTTTTATTTTCGATCTAGAACGTCATGAATCGTGTTAATCCCCAGATAACACCAACCATCGGCCCAGCATTTGTAACGCACACCTCTCCCGGCACCTCTTGGCGTCGACGTGTTCAGGCGGCCGTTAGCCGGCCGTAATACAAATTACCGGCGATTAAATTATTGAGTCAGAAGTGCTACGGCGGCAACCAATTGTGCGCATTTGAAGTTTGTAGTTCGCGGTCAGATACTTGGAAAGTGCTCGAAAAACTCATCCTCCTTGATACGGATTTGCAAGCGCATTTACGTTGGTGGCTGCGCGCTCCCGTATTTAATCATGTCAGATCCATCGCAAAAGCTGCCTCACAAAAACTCGGATAATTGTTCCGTGCGAAAAGCTACTTTACACCTCAACAGCTTCTCATGATCTACAAAGCTCAGATACGGCCTGTTCTAGAATACTGTTCCCACATATGGGGTTCAGCACCAAAACATACGCTGATGCTCTTAGATTCCATCCAGAGAAGAGCCATCCGCCTGGTGGGTGACGCCAGACTCACTCAGTCTTTGACATCATTGGAACACCGTAGAAAGGTCGGCGACCTTTCACTTTTCTATCGATACTTCCACGGAAAATGTGCTTCGGAAATCTCTGCTATCATCCCTTCACTAGCAATACCAGTCAGACGAACTAGACAAGCCCAGTCAGCACATCCTTTCGTTGTCAACCTCGAAAGATGTCGAACAGCACTTTATCAAAACTCCTTCATCCATAGAACGGCTAGGCTCTGGAATTCATTGCCTGAGGAAGTATTCCCAACAACATATAATCTCCAGAAGTTCAAAAAAAATTCCAATACCTACCTCCTATCCTTATCCTCCCTAGGAACGCACGATGCTCTTTGAACATTATAGGGATTCCCTTTCGTGCGCTCCAAGCGATAAAAAAAAAAAAAAAAATCGCCGGTAATGTGTATTGAGGCCGGCTGTACGGTGTGCATTACAAATGCTGGGCCGATGGTTGGTGTTATCTGGGTCATCGAACATCAACTTTCAGACAAGTTGATGTTCGATGGTTATTTCAGCCAAAAATGTAGACAACAAATTATTATAAGATAGATAATTTGAAAGTGTGTTCACCTTTTTTTATCACAGTATACAGTGTGTCCCACTTACCATGCTCACCATGGGTATCTTTTTAACGGTGAGAGATACGAGGTCCGTTAAATGACACCAAATGTGAAGTTTGTCAAGGCCAACTATGATGTGAAAAAATATTTTGATAAAATCTATTCGTTTTTGTTTTATACGCAAAAAACAGATTTTGATCATTTTCATGTTTCCTCCGTAACTTCTTTATTTATGAAAATATTCAAATAGGAATTTCATATTTATTGTATACCTGAAAATGTATTTTTGTAGTATAATTATTTTTATTTTCATTCCATTGGTATCTTGAATAAATATTATTATTATTATTATTATTATATTCTCATGGCAGTTTTTTAAAGTGATTTTGAAAAAAATATGAAATTTATACCAACTCTTCTAGAATTTGAGATATCAGCACCAACTTTAGTTTTTCAAATGTAGGTCATAGCTCACTATGACTTAGTTACAAATAACTTTTTTTCCTCTTTCCGATGATATGTTGCAGTAATATTTTTGTGTTGATAACAACGGAGTTATCGTCATTTAAACAAAAACTAAAAATTATTTGGAAGCCGCCATCTTGAATTTATAAATTTTAACAAGAAAATCTTGATCTCCGACCTCGAAAACCCCTACTTAACAATTTTGAATGGAATCTTGTCCGCCATCTTGGATGACCCACTAAACAATTTCAATTTACTGCAAATTTCCAGCAAGTACATTTTTGCGAGTGTAAATTACACATTCAATTTGCAGCAAGTTAACTCAGAGATGGCATCTTCCTCCTACAGAATTCACAATGGAAACTTACATGATGGAAGTTGTCAGAAAATTGAATGTCAGCTCATACCGAAGTTCCAGTGAGTTTACTCTAAATGATTATTTTGCGAATTCTCAGATAATTTGCAGTAAACTTGCAAAAAATTATAGCTGTCACTTGAGAACTCTCTGCAATTTTTACGAAAATTGTATCTTGAGCTGATGGTAAACTCGCAGGTTAATTGTTTTATATGGTGTTGTAAATACCAGTAATACTTACGACAAAATCAGGGCGAGTGGATAATGAGTTATAGAAGAGCTATAATTCTGAATTTGCATTGAAATTACACTTTGGTAGGCTGGTGCAAAATTTGAAAATATTTTTGATACTGATAAAAAAGGCCAACAATTTCATCAAATTTGTTTGAAGTGACGCCATTTTCATCTCATTCTTGAAAAACATTCGACAATGTTCCATTCGGATGAATTGAAGAATATGGCATTATATCAAATAATTTGATCAAATTTGATGACATTATACACGGGCTTTTGTCAGTATCAAAAGTATTTCCACATGCAAATAATTGTTTCTACCAATCATATTATTAGAACGAAATTAATACAATTCAAGATAATATTTGTTGAAATTAAAAAAAAAGGCTGCTCCAAGATGGCGGACAAGATTTGGTCCGATTCCATTCAAAATTGGTGAGTGGGGGTTTTTGAGGTCGGAGATCATGATTTTCTCATTGAAATTTATAAATTCAAGATGGTGGCTTCCAAATAATTTTTTGTTTTTGTATAAATGACGATAACTCCGTTGTTATCAACACAAAACTATTACTGGAACACATCATCTGAAAGAGGAAAAAAAGTTATTTGTAACTAAGTCATAGTGAGCTATGATCTACATCTGAAAAACCGAAGTTGGTGCTGATACTGCTGATATCTCAAATTCTATAAGAGAGTTGGTATAAATTTCATATTTTTTTCGAAATCACTTCGGAAAACTGCCATGAGAATGTGAAATTCCTATTTGAATATTTTCATAAATAAAGAAGTTACGGAGGAGGCATGAAAATGATCAAAATCTGTTTTTTGCGTATAAAACAAAAACGAATAGATTTTATCAAAATATTTTTTCACTTCATAGTTGGCCTTGACAAACTTCAAATTTGGTGTCATTTAACAGACCTCGTATCTCTCACCGTTAAAAAGATACCCATGGTGAGCATGGTAAGTGGGACACACTGTATTTACCATTATAGGTCATACTCAAAGGTCATAGGTACTTATCCTACATTTTTTATTTTATAGGTCCCGCTGGTGCCTTATATTCCATGTCTTAGTGTGCTTTTCAACTTGTACTTGATGTTGGAATTAGATTTACATACATGGATAAGATTTTCGGCGTGGTTGGTGATAGGTGAGTTCTCTTGAATAATAATATAGCTAGGTACTAGGTATATCAAAAACCATGAATTTCTGAATCCCTGTGTATAATTATTGTTGCTGTGATATCTTTTCTACTAGCTAAGGTACTCTTTTGTCTTATTTGGATTGATACCAAGGTACTTATTTTCGTCATTTTATGAACGACTATAGTCTAACTTCCCGCGCGGACCATCAGGGTTAACAGTTCGATTTTTATTTCATCAGTAAATACCTTTTCAAAAATTCAGTTCTATTTTTTGCTATATGAATTCCAAGAAAGGATGATGAAATAAACCTATGAAGTCAAAACATTATGTACTTTTAGTAAACAGGTAAGTAACCTATTTCCAACAAAATAGGAACCGACAAAACAAATATTCTCTTAAAGAAATAATCATATTCTCAATTCGGAAATACTCATAAATATCACAAAATAGAGTTATATAGGTACTCATAAGATTTGAGTGCATAGAAAACAGGAACAAATAGTGAAAAGAAACAACAAGAATACAAAACAAAGAAAAAAAATTAAACGTATGTCAGTCATGCTTATGGGTAACTATTTTTTTACGCCGGCGTGAGTAGAAGTTAGTTTCTCTGGTAACAAAAGAGGGGCAGAAGTCTTGTATTATTCCCTAGGGAGATAATGTGACATATTTTCTTCCTAGGGAGTTTATAACTTCATTTTTTCCGCATAGCTCTGCGCTTTCTTTTCGCCCTCGAGCTACAAATTGCACCTTGGAAATAATCTTGCATTCCTATCCCTTGATGTATAATGTACTATTTCTTTTGGGTGGCGTCTAAGACTATTTACCTTTCCAGTGACGATATCACCTTCAACTCACAAAAAAAACCGAGAAATTCCGTCCAATAGATTTTTTCTCCACTTCTTGATATCTTTTGTGTTCTAGGTTTCCTCATTTACTTCTTTTATGGAATACAACACAGCGAGGAAAATCCGAATAGAAGAAAAACGATGTCTATAACGTCGAAAGACGATAAGGAAGTCACCAAGTTTTGATACTCAACAAACACACTAGATTAGTCTGGTGAATTGGAATGATATTCTTGCGCCATCAGGAGCCGTTCCAAAAATGAACAAGTTCTATGGTAATGTGACTTCTAATGTCATGGAATATCTAGCAATCGGAGAGTCAAGGGGTGCTTGAACTGGTTTTGGTGCGAAACACCGACATGAATAATTACTGACTAGACCGCTATTAGTCGGCTTATTGTCAAAACCTCGCAAGTCTTTCAGTACTAATTGTCCAGGAGGGGAAAATACGTTTTCCACTTGGTACTTTGAACGATTCAGTTTCATTTTTTTAAATCTCTTCCTCCTTTGTAAAGGTACCTACTTGATGAATGAAATCAACATTCTGGGAAGATTTATATTCTCAGTGCTCAAATAATCGACATACGAAGTATTTACAAAAATAAAATGAACATTATTCAGGCTTACTTGGTTTTGATCAATTACTAGCGAGAATTGTCATTCAGTTAGGGCTTGCTTCACAGTGCATGTGGCAATTCAGCGGTAGTTTTGAAACAATGAGGAATATACGTTCATCAATAGTGAACCGAAATATTTCAATCAATGTCTTCATTCGGAATGAACAGAGTAAAATTATACAAATATCCATAACGATGCTAATTGAATACATCTTCTCAAAAGCTCTTTCCATATAGCACGAGTACGTCCCCAAAACGTACTGAGAACGTATGGCCAAGACGTTTCGTACGTATTGGGGACGTCCAGATTTGGTACAATCGACGTTCAGGTACGTACTGCGGACGTCCAGATTCCGCGCGTTTGTACATCCTCAGTACGTCCATTCAGGACCATGGATACATGAATCAACGTAGATCCGCCTTTAGATCACCAGGTGGATGTTCAACCTATTTCTCTGAAGGACACTTGTTGATTAACAGTATACAACAAGCAATATTATGTGCGAATGCCGATTGACTCATCACATTGATACTTTTATAGAATTAGATAATCACGGCAGAGAATACCTAAATAGATATATCGTTATCTGGTGGGACCAGTAAATAATGAATTTATTTTGAGCATTGCATTATGTTTATGCTTGCAAAGTTCCAATATGAATAGATTTCTGAGATCGAGGGTAGAAATTTTATATGCAATGATTTCGATTATCATTAAACAATTTGTTCAATCCCGTAAACAAAAAGTCGATAACGTCCAGAGTTGGATGTACCCAGTACATCGGAATCGCACGTACCCAGTACGTCCAGAAATGGACGTTTTCAGTACATCTTTAAAAGGTCCTATGGACGTTCAGACACAAATAGGACCTAAACTGGATATCCCCAGGACGTCGAGTGCTATATGGGTTAAGTCCTCTACTAGATAGATAATATACAGATCAAAACCTCGTAAGTCTGTTCACATGAAGAATCAAAACATGTCTGACATGGATTTCACTTCAAATAATGATTCAAACAATAGAAATTCATACTTTCTCAACAAGCACAACTTGACCCTATCCTCTCTTGCAGACTTACGAGTTTTTGAGTTCGAAATCTCTCCGAGTAGAGTTATAGGAGGTTCAGATTATATCTAATAGATGTCGCTACCATAAACATAGACGATGATTTGGTGATGGGTGCGCTAAATTCCGTAGATGGTGAAAATGTTCATACCTGAAATTCCCTAGAATACGGACTTAGGAAGTTTTGACAGTAAGCCGACGTAATGCAATAAGATCAAAGCTAATTTATTTACGAGATCGAGTTTGGTTTAAATGGAATGTGCGCAATCAGGACCTGTCATATAGCCTACGAATCACTCTAACTCTTGTTCAGGGGCGGATCCAGGCGATGTTTGAGAAGGGGGCCATAGGAAGTCCTTACAATCGAGGTAATTTTCATTGGTACCTTCGAAAAAAAAATGTTTAGTTGATTTTGGCAAACATGGTCTGGGTGCTGTGATATGACATTTAGCGGTCTAGATAGTACTTCTTGTCAGTGGCGCGAAACTATATAATACTATAGAATCGTATCTAATATTCAACGATGTCAGTCGCTGTATGAGAGTTTTGAAGGCAGAAATACATTTATTCATAGGGTATCCCTAGGTCAATTAACGGAGAATAAATCAACGAAAATGTTGACATGGAATTATGGTGGGAGAAACGAAAAAAAATGCTACAAAACAAGCGGGAAATAAAGGACTGCGAAATGAGCTAATGTATAATAATGGGGGAATGGGGAAAATCATTGTATAAGTATTTTTTATTTTTCCCATTGGATCGTATATTTTACTTTTGAAAAAATCGAAGAGTAATCTCTGGCCCCTTCACTATTCTGCTGATATCATTAGTGAACTGCCATGTTCACACATCAGAGCTGAAACACGATTCTGTTAGCACGACGTTCTGTGACGTTGCCGTTTCCACTTATATTTGGGTATTATTATATAATAATTCGTTGATATGAAGGATCTAATCCAAACAGTTTAGTTGTTCCATGGTACCAGTTCTAGTTGCTCTGACTCTCTGTTCCAGTTTCTAGTCATTATCGTATCTAAACGGAGGTATCCATCCATTATTGTAAAAAATCTGGTAACATGGTCTTCAACATATTGTCGTTCCAGATGAAAAACCTATCATGATAGTACTATACCTTCATCATACTTGCCTGCTCATTCAGAAATACAATGATATATCTGGTATTTTCCCTATGACTATTTTAATATTACTATGGTAGTAAAACAAAATTTGGGGGTTGTGAGTTATAGTGAAATTTTTTTACATATCTACAAGCTTTAGCGTACTCCCGGTTTTACCGCAAATTAAACCAACTCTAAATACCGGGTTTGATAAGGTAATTTCAAACTATTACGAAGATATTCACTCTTGAAATATTCACATGCTCAATGAGTGTGACAGAGAAAGAAGTTTCGATCGTGTGCCGCTGTTTGAAATATCCCAACCAAGCAAATTCGATATGATAATTCATAACCGATTATGGAATAAAATATAGGGTGTCCCATTTAAAAATCTAAAGTTGGGATCATTTCTGGTGTAACCGGAAGTACGGCAAAACCAATAGTTATGTGAAAAAATGTGAATTGAAATATAATTCTCAACCCCGAAATTCTGTTTTACTACCTACAATAATCAAAAAGTTATAGGAGTGAACCACCTTGAAGGATCACCCGGTATAAAATTAGTTAAGAAGGTTACGTTATTTTTAAGAAACCTCTTGCACATTTCGAGTCAAATAGGAAATAACATTATTTCACTTATTTATAATGATTGGTAGAACTCTCCACTCTCTTTTGTTCGAATCAATCTGGTGAAAAGTTGCATACATTATTATTACCTATTATTATTATTATTACTATTATTATTGGTTGAAGAACTAACTATCAGTGCTGTTTTGATCTTCAGTGAACACACTGCTGCCCTGCAGGCAAGTTAGCGATATTTTTGCTCTTGTGAAATACGTTTCAAATAGTCAGAAGCTGTGTTGCCAGATTTGACTCTTTTTTTTTTCTAGTGTATGAAAGAGATTTTCTTTTGTTCTGAACCATGAGTCTGAACAGTTCGGAGTGAAGATGAACGTGTGTATCATTGATCCAAGTGTTATATATTATGTTATAGTCAAAAGAAGAGCATCAGATCAGTGATCAGTCCGTCCAATTCTTCGATATTATGATCAATTCAATTCATTATCTATAAACTACAATATAAGAGTTTTGAAAAGACTGTAAAGTATAACATTTTGTCTATTTTTCAATCAATACTTTCGACAGCCACTGTAGAACTGACAGAAAAAATCCACCACCAAGTGGGTGGGAAAAAAGACCTTTACTCGAAAGAATTGATATTAACTGATCCAATTCAGATCTAGGTGAAATATTTAACTCAGTTCAGAATGAAAGAATTTCACTGTAGGTATCAATTATGATCGTGTGTGATGACAGGAATGCCTGTAATTGCTCCCGCGTGGTGGCACTAGTGTACAGATCGATCCCAGAAACATCTGGGAGCATCACATTCACTTCAAACATCACATACTGCTATTCCATACCCTTTTTGGCATTTGAAGATATAAATACTATATCATTGACATATTATTGATATAGATAAAACTGCTGAGCAGATATCAGGGACTTAATTTCATTGATTTTGATAGAATTATTTGATTGTTCGATTACCTATCTATATTTTTTATGAACGAATTTATGTATATTGACGGTCAATTTTCGAATAGTCATAACAGTGATACTTTTATATGGTAAGATGGAATGATATTTTAAATATTTTTTAACGAATCTATTATGGTTTTATTGAATCCTTTATTTTCCTCATGCTCTACTACACTGGGTGTACAGAGTACAGATTACACCTACTATTATTCACACCAATTCCACACCTATAATGTGGGAAAATTCTGCAGCTTGCACAACAAGGAAAAGATAGGTATTTATTATACAAGGAGGAAGAGTAGTAGATTTTAGCTCCAGGTTGTGTTTCTCCCGACGCGTAGCGGAGAGAGACAAAAAACCGTGTGGTAAAATCTAATATTTTTCCCTTGTGTAATCCACTATTTTTTTTGTGACAGGAAAAAAGATAAATCAATATTGAGATGATATTACATTACAATGAAATCAGAAAATTATCGACGTGAAATTTGAAGTTTTTAACTGGAATTAGACCTGCGTTGCAGGCATCTTTCTGCAGACATCTTCATCATTCTTTCGAAGTAGGTACCTAATAAAATATTTGTGAGTCTAATTCTGTGATTTGATCTGAAAAATTTCCGAACTTAGTGGTTGTTTAGTGATTTACTCAACAGCGAAGTGGAATGGAAGATAAAAGGACTAACAGTTCTCTCTTGGAGATGGTATCATTGGCTTATTTTTAGAAACTAGCACAATGAAATCCATCAACAGTGTTTACAGGGTGACATAGAAAGAAGTACATTGTAGAGGGCCACAAAATAGAGAAAATAAGAAAAAAGTTTTCATGAACACGGGTCCGCAAT